GTCATGGCAGTTTCTTGATACATTAGGAGTCCTCTCAGAAGAGAAAATGGAATTGTTTGTCATGATTTGTTTTCAAAGAACCTAGGTTTACTCCTTTGAATGTCTGCTTCTCTTTCTTAGTGCTTACCTCTTTTTCATTATATATAGCACAGCGGTAGGGGCTCGAGATAAAGCAGATCACAGAATTCTATGAAGGTGACTTCAGAAAACCCTATAGTCCCTTAAAAAGTAAGATTACTAAAATGATATTATGTTTACATAGGAGAATGTCCTTACCTTTTAGAGACACTTGCTGAAATATTTAAGGAAGGTTTGTCACGATGTCTATAATTTACTTTTTTAAAAATCGGTAAAAAATAAATATGTAAAGCAAGGACAACATGTTAATTGTTAAATCTCAGTAATGGGTGTGTATTTATTTCTGTGTATCATTATGTAAAATATTTATATTAAATATTATAGTAAATATTTTTTAAAGTCAAGTAAAAAAGTAAGTAATGAATATAGAATAAAGATTGAGATACTGAATACAAAGAGAAGTTTAAAAGAGATGTCATTCCAGAGGACTTGTATGCATGCATATAAGCATAACCAATGGACACAAGACACGGGGCGGGGGTGGTATGGGAGGCTAGGGGAAGGTCAAGGGGAGAAAAAAAAGGAGACATATAATACTCTTTGTAATACTTTAAGCAATAAAACAATTTTTTAAAAAAAGATATGTCATTTCTGGTGATGATGATGATGACAATAATAATCTTTATGAAACAAGAACGGGTGAGTTTAGCAAATGCCAGGCCCTGTGCTGAACACTCATCATGCATTGTCTCCTTTAGTCCACACCAGTCCCATGAAGTAGGATCATTTTCTCAGCTTTCTGAATAAAACTGAGACTCAGAGAAATGGAACGACCTATTCCAGACCTGTCTTCACCAATTCAGTACAGTCCTGCCATAGGGAGCGCTGGGAGGCAGTGATGAGTTGAAAGAATCTAGGATGTATGGGGAAGCAGGTGAAGGCACAGAGGGGCTGATAAACTTGCTGAATGGAGACAAGACAACAATAGCAGGTCCCAGGGAACTCTGAATATTTCAGTGAAATGATGAGGCTGTAATTGAGGAAGAAAAAGTACTGGGAGGTGGTCCACTTTAAGACCATACTATTGTATCTGGTATACAGAAGAGGGCCATGCAATAATCAATGACTATTGAAATTCCCAACAATAAGGAAGCAATTGGCATATATGGAAAATGAGTAGAGATGGGAAGGATATCTTCTGAGCAGGAGTCTGGCCTCACTAACAAAGGACACCATACTATCTACCTCATTCAGTTCTAGGGCTGATCAGGGGAAGGATTGCTAACAACTTCTCCCCAGTTTATAAGATTATTTTGACGGTGGGAAAAGAACAGCTTCCAGTGAATTTTCTTTAGCATTTCTAAAACCAGTTCACTAATTTTTAATAATTACTTCCTTTGAGCAGGAGGTACTGACCTCAGTTCAGCTATTTCATTTCAAACTAGAATTTAATTTTAACATTTTGCTTGTTGGGGGGGAAAATAGCCTACCTAAGAAAAATTGGTCAACTGTGTGCTCTGCTGGAGAGATTGTCACAGCATGCCGGTGGCCTGGAGGTGCCAAAACAGACTGTTTCTGTAAAATTGAAATTAGTTCATTTTAGCTTATAGCTTTTTACTTACATTTAAAATGGAAGTGGCTATTTTTAAAAGAAGGAAAGGAAGTCTAAATTGCTCTGCTAATCCAATGAAATATTGCCAAGAGGATAAAAGCAGACGGCTGTGAGCCATGTGGGGGATCCTTTCCAAAGCTTGTTCTTATACCTCTCCTCTGTTTTCATTAAAGCAAGTCCCAGAGATCAAATGAACCACAGACCCATGCTGAAGGCAAGGGCACAGGTAGTGTGCTTGCTTCATCTCTGCCAGCAGCCGCTAACCACTAGGCTGGAATGCGACACACAGGTCAGAAGAATAGTAATCCAATACTCACCCTCCCAGGTCTCCTCCCATCAGGAGCCATCTGGGAGCAGATGACTAAGTCACTCATCTAATTGCCTCCAGTTAGGTACTTGTTTGAAAATGAATAGGAGAGCTCATAGGAAAGGGGAGACAGATCAGATATAATAATGGCACCAATAATTCACATTCCTGTGATTTTATGATTCACAAAGTGCTTTGTATACATGCCTGCCTTGGATCTTGCTTTAGGGTGAGCATCTTCGGTCCATTGTACAGAATAGCAATCCCAAACCCAGAGATGTTAAGACAGGAATTTGTTCCCAATCATACAGTTCGTTCAAAACATGGACTTTGATAACAAATGCTCCAGTTCAAATCCTGGCTTTATTATTTAGGAGCTATGTGACTCTGGGAAATTACTTAACCTCTCTTTGACCCCATTTTGTCATCTGTGAAATGGAGCTAAGACTAGTATCCATTGGAAAGGTTGTTGTGGAGATCAAATGACAGGATACATGTCAAATACTAGGAACCTTCTGGCATATGGTATTCAGTAAATGCTATCATTACATTTATAAAACATTTGATGGCTCACAAAATATATTCAGTTCAACTGTATTTATTAAGCACCAGAGCCAAACACTGTGCTAACTTCTGGTGATGCTAGAATAAATCATTCATGGACCCAGCCATTCCACAGGACATAGGGCTAGCGCAGGTAGACGGACACCCTCAGTATAAAGTGATATTTTAAACAGTGAAGATAATTAGAGAATTCAGCCTGGCCTGAAAGTGTTAGAAAGGGCTTCCTAGAGAAACATACATTTCTGGCTTGACCTTTAAAAAACCCTCTGGCAAAAAAAAAAAGGATTATTTTTGTCCAGTCGACAAATGAGTGAAACAAGCCTCAAAAAGGGTGAGGACTTCCCAAGTTCCCTCACTGGTGAATGGTGAAGTCAGGTCTCAGTTAGACTAAACTACCTCAACGGTATGTTCCCTCTGTACTGTCATTGAGACGATAAGCTGTGTGTTTTTTCGTCTGCACTAGCTTTCTTGTTTAAAAGGGAGCTATCACTCTTTTTGCCTCTCCCCTTTTCTCTCAGAAAAATTCAGCACAGAGACGTTCTCTAAAATCCACAATCTGCTAGCAAGTCACAAAAGCCTAGACTGGGCGGGACAATTGTTTACCTGCAAGGATCTGGAGGGGCAGAGATATACTTGCTGTTGAGTCATAGTTCTACCACTCGCAAGCTCTGTGGCAATAGGCAAGCAACTTAACCTCGCTGGGCCTCAGTTTTTCCACTCATGAAATGGAGAAATAATAATCCTCACCTTCTGGAATTTCCATGATGATTACATTAGCACAGTGCTTAGCACACATTGTAATTGCTCAATAAACTTTCACTATGAACTGTAGAGAGATGCCTCTTAGTCCATCTACTTCACCCCTCTGTTCTGATCGCACAAATCATCTGTCCATTCTATTTTGAAAGCCTTTCCCAGGAGATTCAAGAGCTTCATGTGTGAAATGTTCCAACACTTGACCAATGGTGCTACCTGGAAATCCAGCTCTTCCGTGCATTGCTTGTGCTTTCATCTGTAATATTAACTTTCTTCTCTAGGGAAAATAAGAAAGAGGATGGCTGGCCATGCTTTTTCTGAATAAATAAATGAACATCTCAACCTTCTCTCTCTCTCTTTCTCTCTCTCTCCCCTTTAATTCACTTCCTTCCACTGGTGATGGGCAGGACTCCTTATGTCCTGAGATTGGTGTGATGATAATGTAGGTAGCTGGTCATAATATTGTGTGTGTTGTGCTCTTTGTTTTCAAAGCATGTTCACATGTCTCGCTTGTTGATCCTAAAACAACTGAAAGGTAAGGAAGGCAGGTATTATCCCCATCTTAAGGATGAGGAAACTTAAGTATAAAGGAGAAAATAAAATAGCCACCACTGCTAAGCACTGATTAGGTACCAAGTCTTTTGTGCATGTTATCTTATTTAAATTTCTTAAGAACCTTCTCTAATAAGTGTTAGCAGTTCATTTTGCCGGAGAGGAAAATGAGACCCAGAAAAGAAGGTCAGGCACCCGACTTTCTCCAGACAGTAAATGGTAAAGCCAGATTTCAAGTCCAGATCTGTCATACTCCAAAGCCAATAAGCTCAATCATAAACTTTTAAAAGATCTGCTCAACCCATCGGTGACTGCCATGACATTAAAATCCAGAACTCCTGATTCACAGACCAGGGCACCTTTCATTAAACCACTCATTCAGTCCTTCTTGACTGGGTGAGGTACAGGAGCTGGGCCGACCTGTGATCAGGTAGTCTCTGCTCATACAGACTGCTCTGCGGCTGTCCCAATCTTAGCTAGTCTTCTGTCCATAGCTTCCTGGTCCATGCTTATAGGTTCCCAAGCATGCAGTCGGAGGGTAATAAATTGATGTGTATATAATATATTTCTATAATTTTAAAATAACAATTTATATTATTTTACAAATATTTATATTATATAATATATTTCTATTATACATATAACATATCAACATATATATGTTTATATAGGGAGAGATATAATCTATCTACTGCATATATTTAATGTATATACATCTAAATGTTTCCAGAGTTTGCCAGAATCTCCAGCAAGAATATAGATTTGTCAGGCCAAGCAAGCTTCTCCAGGATTCACCAGTAGTATATTTCTTTAAACATAGACTTGGACATGGAGAAAAATGAAAGAGAAATGGTACTAGGAGTTTCTTCTCTTCCTGCGTGTCCAGTCTAATTATATCTCTATCTCTATCTCTGTCTCTATCTCTATCTCTATCTCTATCTCTATCTCTATCTCTATCTCTATCTCTATCTCTATCTCTATCTCTATCTATCTCTCTTTATCATCTCACATGGAGGTTGTAGGCAAACTCTGAGTAGAAGGATAAATTCCAACCATGTTCACCTTACCCTGGGAGTATGTGCTAATGTTGCTTCTTGAGCTGCTTCACTCGTTTGTTTTCCATTTCACAAGGAGACGATGGTGAAAAAGGAGATCCAGGAGAGGAGGGAAAGCTTGGCAAAGTGGGACGCATGGGGCCAAAAGGTAAGTAAAATGGTATGAACTTGATCTGTAATGTTAGAATTGCTCTTCTCTCTCCTGGACTTGCTCTAGGAATTAGCAGCTTTCATAATGCCCTTTGCTCTAAAGATACATGAAATGTATTTCAGATGTAAAGTTACTTGCCACCAGAGAGTTCTTATGAGTTGCCTATCAACAAGACTCAGCCCCATTTCTCAAATTTCATCCTTAGGGGTGCCTACAGTGGGACACTCTGGGAGCCCCAGGGAATAGCAATCTCTGAGAATATCTAAGAAACTATGAATTTTGGAAACACAGCTGGGTTCAAAGCTGTATCTCCCCTTAGAAGCCACTGCTAAGCAACTTTTTTTTGGGCTAACCTAGAAATTAAGGAGGAAGATAAGGAGGAGAAGAAAATTGTTTGATTCTTTGATGTTCTCACCTTTCTCAAACATCTGGGGGACTATGGAGAGAGTAGGAGCAAAGAAGATGAAAATAATACAAAAGCTATTAGAGAATGTTTTTAATCACAAAGCCAAAAGTAAGTCTCACTCAAACATGGCTTCTGGATTGTGACATGTGTCTTCAAGCACTGGAAATATTCCCTGCCAACTGTACGAAATGGTGGCCCAAGACCACTGCTCTTTAAATCTTCATCATTTAAAGAGGAAAACACTCCCAGGCCTTTGAGACCTCAACTTGAGATATTCTGATTTAAAATACTTTTATACTATAAATATGTATAATATTCTATACATTTGTTGTACATTCCCTAAGATAGTCAAATCCAGTTGTAAAACAAAGAAAAAATAGAACCTCAAAGTGAAGCTGAAATTGATCTAGCGAGGCACAGAATTAGAATAAAATGCAAGAATTCTTCACTCAGCCGCTTATCTGGCCTTTAGATTAAACATCTGCTGTAGTCCTTTCAGAAAGATTGCATGAGTAAGCATTTTAATATCATCAGGTTCAGGATTGTCATACCCACATTTTAATTTTAATATATACATTATAATGCTATTGAAATAGTTAATACAGCTCTAACCGGTTTGGCTCAGTGGATAGAACATTGGCCTGCGGACTGAAAGGTCCCAGGTTTGATTCTGGTCAAGGGCATGCACCTTGGTTGCAGGCACATCCCCAGTAGTGGTTGTACAGGAGGCAGCTGATGGATGTTTCTCTCTCATCCATGTTTCTAACTCTCTATCCCCTTCTCTTCCTCTCTGTAAAAAATCAATAAAATATATTTTTAAAAAAATAGTTAATACAAATATACCACAGATAGGAGAATGCACTCTTTGGTATTTCTTTCAAGTTGATATCATATATTAGCCACATCTTTAAAAAGAAGATAAAATGTTAGGATATAAAGATGACCTGCTTTGCTTTCCAGGAATTAAGGGAGAACTGGGTGATATGGGAGACCAAGGCAACATTGGCAAGACTGGCCCCATTGGCAAGAAGGGTAAGCCACATCCTCCCCTTCTCCAAAAGCATTTTCAAGCACATTGAGCATACCTTTGATATATCTGAACGGTTCTTTGGCATAAAAATGATCTCTCTCTCTCTTTTTTATAAATATAAGTATTCTATTTCTTAGTATCTTGGCTGTTCAGTAATAGAAAACAATTATTAATATAACTCAAGGTAGCAGAGGACAGTATAATTTTATTTCTTGAGTGGACTAGTAGTAATTCCGTGTCAGTGATCTATTAACAGGAGAGAAACTTGAACATCTTTTGTTTTCAGTCTTCTCCTGATTCTGTACATAATTACTGCTCCCAATACTACAAATACCCCTATTACAAAAATAGAGGTAACCTCCTCTCTATTACCTACGTACTCTTTCCTGTCTTCTCATAAAGCCCCACATACATAGCAGGTTGTAATTGCTTCTGGTCTTTAGGAATTCATACAAGCATTGTTCCACTTTGTTTGAAGATACAAACTAAAGGAGAATCAAAATATTATTGCAAGAAGCTCAGATGACTTAGGAACACTGGACTTCTTCAGAGAGGATTATAATAATAACTCTATGACTACGATAAGAACCATCTGGGAGAGTAGACAAGATTGACATGAAGAATTGACCTGGGTCTTGAAGGACAGTAAGATGTTTATGGAAATGGAAAAAAGGCATTTGAGGGGGATACAAGAAATAGTTGTGCAAAGGTACAGGTCAGGGGAAACTCGGTGCCTTGGGTAATAGAAGTCCACAGCCGTGTGTTACCCTCCAGCCTTCCACACATGCTCGAGCAGCTGCGTAATTCAACATGTGTCTCACAGCGGCCAGCTGTGTGCTCCTGCGAGCAGGCTGATGGATGAGGTCTGAGCTAAGGTTGTGGCCTCTCCCCTGGCATCCTGCAGTGCAGTACTTCTCTCCCTACTCTCTTCCAACTCATTTCTTTGAGAAATTTCCTTCGGTCTGCATTTGAGGGCAGGAATAGAGGGCGGCGCCACTGAAAAGAAATCGCTATGGTTATTTTTGATCCAGTATATTCACCTGAGGGTGAAATCCTCATAGCTGAGAAAGAGCTACATGGACAGCTCAGAATTCACAAGTCCTGCTGCAGAATGTGCCTGCCATGGGTTTACCATGAAGCTAATAAAGCTGTGGCTTCAGAGCCCACACATGTTTGGGCCCTTCCCAAGGCCCTGAGAGGATCCCTAGCAATAGGTGCACATGTCTTGGTAAAGTTGAAAAATAAAACATTTTAACCTCAACTGGTTAAAATACTGCATCTCAACGTTTTTAAAAACTAGTGCCCCCCTCCCAACAATTTTTTTAGACATATTGCCCCCTTTAAAAGCTTTTTCCTAATTCCCCTCCACTCTCCACCCCGCCCCCCCCCCCGCCCCCCCCCCCCCCCATGAAAGTTTAATACCATCCACGGGCTATCTATTTGCTATGGACCATGTGTAGACTGAGAGTTCATCTCTTCTCAAGAACTGACTGCTGCGTCCTTGAGGTGATGTCCCCATTGAGAATGTGCAGGTTCAGATTACTGTCTCCTTTTGCTTCAACGTCTCTTCATCATATTCCTCATTGCATTAGGTGGTTTTTGGAGAGGATGCCACGCATTTGGGAAGCTAGCTAAGAAGAACTTGAGAGAAATATTTAGTTTGAACTTCTTTATGTAGTGTGCAGTTTCTTCCATGTACAGCTAACAATTCTCTGAAGGAAGAGTCTCCAAGAATACGCCTACCATTTACTGTCCAGATCTATCCAAAGTCATGATGAAAAAGTGTGAGGGCAGAGATTTAGATCATTATATGAATGTGTCCTAGGCCATCCAATGCAAGAAATATGTGGATTGTGGAAAAGAAACAAGTTTTGCAATGAATAGGACCAGTCTGTAGAAAAATTTTCCAAATCTAACAGCTCATATATATGAAGAATACTTTGTAGAAGTATTTTTAAATTTGGTTTTTAATGATAGCAACAAAATTTAGATTTATGCTGCAGGCCATGAGAGAATTGCCTACGTTAATCCTGATGCTAGTCATTCTTAACAGAAAAATTAATAGAGTTTACTCAAAATGATGCTATTATTGTTATGGGAAACAAAAAGTATAGGTGTTCGGGGTTTGGGGAGGGGGAATTCCTTTGGAGTAAAGTCCTCACCATGGTCAAAACAGTTCTGCACAAAATCTACCCTTGTCACCTTCCTGTCCTTGTCTCCCCCACCTCCTCACCTGGCACATGGTAGGTGCTCAATAAACATTTATGAATAATTTTTTTTTTAAAAAAAGAATGTCTAGCTGAATAAAAAAAATGTCCAAAAGATACTTAAAGCCATTGAATAGGACTTTAGGGTTCATAATCTGGAGGAGAAGGGAACCACTGAAAGATAAACCACACATTCTATACCTACTGCTTTTGCTCTCAAATCATCACCAGTTCATTAATAAGGAAGCACTATGAGACTGAGGACCTAGAGTAGAAAATTGCTCAAACTTTGCATTGGGCTGCCCAAGAAGGCTGGCCTTGGAAAATGCCACTCCTTTTATTTCAAAAAATAAAAATTTCCAGTTATAACTCCGGAAAATTCTGGGGGAAAAAAACCATTTCATTAAGCATATATTCATCATGTTTAAAAAATCTTATCCAACTAGGAATAGAGGGAAACACACTTAATAGTGAAAGGAATGTCAACATCAACAACAATAAAAGACTATTTAAAAATTATATTCAATAATGAAATATTCAACACTTCTCTCCTGAAATTGGGAATGATGAGTACAGCCCTCATCACTAATTCTAATCAACATTATAGAAGTTCTAGCCAGACTAAAAGTGCAAAAACAAGAGATAAGAATCATAACAACTGGAAATGAAGAATTATTTGCAGATGACATGATTGCATGCCCAGCAAATACAAAAGAATCCACAGATTAGCTGTTTGTATTATTGTTTTTAGATAGCTTAACATACAAAAAAATTTTATTTTTACATACCAGAAACAATTTTTAAATAAAATTAAAAAGGTGCCATTTATCATAACATCAAAGTTATCAAATATCTAGGAATAAATGTTAAAAGATGTGTAAGCCCTCCACAACAAATGCTATCTATAATAATAAAAGTAATATGCTAATTAGACCGGATGACCTTCTGGATGAAGCTGGGGCTGTAAGGGAACCAGTGCCTGCTGGTGGCCAGAAGGAAACCTGGGTCCTGGGTGCCGGAGGGAAGCTGGTGCCAGCAGCCAGGGGAAGGAAGGTCTACTCTTGCACGAATTTTGCGAATCGGGCCTTTAGTGTAATGATAATGAGAGAAATTAAAGAATATCTAAAGAAATGGAAGTAAAGCTACATTCACAGAGTGGAAGACTCAATATTGTTAAGATGTCAATTCTCCCTAAATAGATCTATAGATTCATTCTCTCTCAATTAATATTTCAGAAGTAGTTCTCTTGAAATTTAATAAGCCAATGTAAAATTTTTGTGAAACCTGGTCAGTATGGCTCAGTGGTTAAGCATCGACCCATGAACCAGGAGTCAGGGTTTGATTCCCAGGCAGGACACATGCCAGGGTTGCAGGCTTGATCCCCAGTTGGCATGCAGGAGGCTGTCGAACAATGATTCTCTCACATCTGATGTTTCTATCTCTTTCCCTCTCCCTTTCTCTCTCTCTGAAATGAATAAAGACATATTTTAAAAATAATTAAAAAATAAAATTAAATGTATGTGGAAATGAAAAGGATCAAGAATACCTAAAGAAAATCTTGAAAAAGAAAAACAAAGCTGGATGACTTAAATCACGGAATTTAAACATGTATTATAAAGTTACAACTATGAAGATAGTATTGATTTAGTACAGAGACAAATAGATCAATGGAAAGGATTAGAGCATGCAGAAACAGACTCCCACACTTGATTTATGCAAAGTTGACATTACTTTGCAGTGGAAAATGATGAGCCTCTCAATAAATAGTGCTAGGTCAATTGGATATTCATGAATGCAACCAAACATATGCAGCCCATGATGTATGAAAAAGAAGAATTATAGAAGCACAGAATTCATTTATTAATTAAAATGTTATAATCCTAGAGTACTGATAATGTGGTATTTGTCTATTTTTAAAATTTGGTGATTTGTTTTTATTTCTTTTGTATAAGCATTCATTTTTATGATCACTTTTCTATTTGTAATTTGGTATTATTTTTTAAAATTTATGTATTGATTTGAAAGAGAGAGAGAGTTTGTTGTTTCACTTCTTCATGCATTCACAGGTTGATTCTTGTATGTGCCTTGACTGGAGATCAAACTTGCAACCTTGGCATATTGAGATGAAGCTCTAACCAACTAAGCTACCTGGCCAGGGCATTGGTATTATTTTTCTTAATGAGGGCTCCTTAAATTGTATAAGCTTCAGATAAAATTCATTATGGATCTTTTCCTGACTGTATCCAGCTTCATTCAACAACTAGTTGAAGGAATGGAAAGGTATAGCCAAACAGTGGGATGCTAGACATGGAGATTTCTGAGATGCAGCCTTGTTAGATGAGGGCACGAGCCCCAGTACTGTCCTGGAATGGGCAGAAGTGGAGGGGGAGGGTACATCACTGCCATGAGCACCCCCAGAATTCAAGAACTTCATTTTTTAATGAGTTATTCAAGATTTTGCATGATCTTAGTTTTAAATGTGTCAACTAAGAGAGATGGAGTTCATGACCTTGAGCCAAGTCTTAATCCTTTCATAGATTAAGACTAGGTAACTTGGGAGTGTGGTAGATGACAGAGACTAGGGAGGGTCAAGAGTTTAGTATGATTTTCTGGGTGTCAAATGTTGAAAAAATAACTCTGGAAAGGATAGAGTTAAGCTGACCTTATCTTCTTCAGGACAATTCAGCATTCACACTCAGGTGCATAAACAACACCTCACTCCTAGCATTCCTCTCTCACTTTACTCATTGTCATGGCTTATTAGCTTGTCTGTTTTGCCCTACAGACCATGAACTTCTAGAGCCAACAAATGAATGAAAGATTTATTGGGTCAATTTGCTTAAATAAATATAAACTATATGTGAGTACCCTATTTTTAATCATTTTACCCTAATGCCTATTTTATAGTAGAAACTTTCTAAATGTTTGCTGCATTAAGGATGAAAAAAATGAGTGGTAAATATATTATTTCTAATCATGTAGCCCTCTTTTCTACCCTTTATTTCTTTAAGTACCACTTTCCCTTAACATCAATTTTCAACATTGACTAAGATTTCTTTCTCCTCCAGAGATATGCCATCAAAATTTATGAGCATGTCCTGAAATTTTTTAAAAATGGAGGTTCACTGTTCTGGCTCACCTGGATTAATTTCATTTTTAATCGGACTTTGAAATTTATTGCCCTCATTTTGTCAATAGCCCTTCTAAATTTTTCACTGACTCAGATTAATCTCAACTTTCTGGACTGGTCTTAATGTCACTTGCTTGGACAGGTAGCTTTCTGGATGTCAATATTTTATTTCATGAATAAGAAAGAATAATTTAATATAGGTAAATTAAATCTCATGACAAACAAATGCTTTTACTTAAGGTCAATATCCTTTTACAGTGAAAGCATTATGATTTTTATTTGTTTAAATGCAACCTCTAATTCTTCAATTTTAAGGCAGTTATTACAAACATGTTTCCACTCATGGACCAAAATAAGTCTTTGTGTATGGCTTTAAACCAGAATTTGCTTGGGCAAAATAGACATTGTAAGTCCACATCCTCCATCGACTGGCTAAGTACTTGGTATACTCACTTTTACCACAATTCTGATTTAGGAGACAGAAGCTAACATTGGTTGCGCATCTTCTATGAGCCCAGCACAGACATAATCCTATGATAAAATAACATTATCTAATATATCCTCTTTAATGATCTTAGATATTAGGTACTATTATTTCCACTTTAAAAATCAGAAATGGAAGCTTTAAAAATGCAGTAACCTGTCCACATCTAGCTAGTGAGTGACAGAGCCAAGATTTAAGTCTTGGTTGTTCAGACTTTTATAGTCTTTCACTCCACCACACTGCTTTGACTTTTCCATCTGTAAAAAAGGAAAATAATTTATGTCAAAATATTGGAAAGTCATCACGGTGCTTACATCTTCTCATGGGGAAAAAATCAAATTATCAATTCAGTAATTTGTTTCCCACACTATTAAGATTTAATTAAAAGCTATTGCTTCAGTGAAACTTTCTCTATTCTGATCCACAACCATCTTTGGTTTCTCCAAATACCTATCAGACATTTTCTTTATTTCACTCTGTTAATACATGATGGTGATAATGTCCCATCTCCTTGGTCCCTAATATGGGCTATGTTTTCCTTAAAAATATTTTTTTCCAAAGCAAATATTCTGTTTATGCTTCTGTTATGCCCATCATTGGGCTTACCCCAGAACTAGGATCAATTTTCAGCCCATGTTAAATTCAAAGGGATTTACATGTAAAGAAAATACACTATCTTAAAATAATTAAAGTATTAAACCATATTCATATGATCTTCAAGCCCATATTGTTTATGGTGGTGCTAAAGACTGGTACCCCTTTCAACTTTTTTTTTTTTTAATATATTTTATTGATTTTTTACAGAGAGGAAGGGAGAGAGATAGAGAGTTAGAAACATCGATGAGAGAGAAACATCGATCAGCTGCCTCCTGCACATCTCCCACTGGGGATATGCCCGCAACCCAGGTACATGCCCCTGACCAGAATAGAACCTGGGACCTTTCACTCGGCAGGCCGACGCTCTATCCAATGAGCCAAACTGGTTTCGGCCCTTTCAACTTTTGATAACATTTTTTGAGTACTTTGATTTCTTTCATTGGCTAACTCATTTGGGAAGCCCCATGAACTGGGGAGTCAGAAATGGTTGGGCTTCAGTACCAGGGGTGCCATTGAATTGCTGAATGTCCCTGAGCAACTAATTGTGCCTCCTGGATCCTCAATTTCTGCAGTGGTAGAATACAGATAATGATAGCACCTAGTTCATTGGATTTAATATGATAACATCTATACAGTATCCAAAACAGTACTTGATAAATGATCAGCACTTAGCAAAGCTATATTTCCTTTCTTTAATGCATTCAAAATCTATTCTTATCTTTTCCAATTTACATATAAAGAATGAGGAATTTGCAGGACACAACTTAGGTATATTCCCATGCTTTTCCCCTTACTGTACCTCTGCTGTATGTTACTTCCTACCTTGCTCCCATCTCCACCTGCTGAAGTTTTCATAACCAAGCTCCAGTGCCATCTCCACAAGTGAGCCTCCTTCATCCTTCCATCTGGAGTACTATCTCTTCTAGCTCCCTCCCAAAGTATGTGATCTCTGTTCAAGGTCTTTCTTGCAGTATTATCAGCACTCCATTCTCACAGAGTTCACCATATCTCATTTATTCTAAGCACAAGTTCTGAGGTGTCCTCCCACATACTTAAACTGCCTTCAGGATTTCAAAGACCCCCTCCTTTTGTGTGGCAAGCTCATACATGACTGGCAACACTGTAAAGAAAAGTGTCCACGTATGTTGATTTAGAAAAACTCAGCAAATCCTTGGGGGCCAGCAGGTGTTCCTTTCTGGATGATCAACAGTCAATGTGTACAGGACTATTAATAAAGAGCACTCAGCAAGAATGTCCAATGCCATGGTTACTAGCAACATGTGATTGAGCACTTGAAATATGGTTAGTCCAAACTGACATGTGCTGCAAGTGCAAAATATATATCAAATTATGAAGCCTTAATACCAAAAAAGTAAAATATCCCATTAATATTTTTATATTGATTACTTATTGAAATGACAATATCTTATATATACATTAAATGGTATATAATACTTTTAAAAATTTAAAGCACTAAGCAGATAGTGATGACAAGATTAGCTAATGGACAGGCAACATGGGACACCCTGTGGGTTTTGGAAAGGCTCCCCCCTTTTGGTGGGAAAGGATGGGGTTAGGCAAAATCTCAAGGCCAACTTTGTTCCCCCTCACATTGCCCCCTCGGGTCATATCCCCAATTCCCTGGCTATACCAAACCCCCTCAAGGCTAAGCCACATACTCCTTTCTAGTCTGGATGACCTTTACCCTGTATTTATCCTTCCTGAGGCCTTTCTTCTTCTGTTTCCAGACCACCTTTGAAGCATTAACTCTATTTTTCTTCTATCATGGCTTCTCTTTTCATTCTCAAGAGCTTCAGCTAAACATTTCCTCTTGAAAATCAAAGGCTTTTGCTTTCAATGGTTGTGTCTGATATGGCCATAAGAGCTTATTTTGAAGTTTAAAAAAATCAACATTTTTTCTCTTTGCTTTAATAATCCTGATTCTATGAGTGGATGCCTCTGACTGAATAAGAAAATGATGGCATACAAAGAAAAGTAGAAGGGAAAATTATCAAGGTTAATATTTCAGTACAATATATTTGACACTATTTTATTTATAGATTTTGCATACATCACATCTCTTCTAAAAGTGTGTAAACTCTTTCAAGTCAGAAGTGTAATTTTGTCTCTTTATATCCTCTCAAAGTACTAAGGCTTCTGTCTTGCACAGAGTAAGTAAATAGTAAATATTTGAAAAAGTAAATAAGTTGAAAAAGCACAATACATGTTTTTGAAAATTCAAGGGCAAAGCCATATGGAAGAATTTTGGTGCATGATAAACCGATGCTGCAATGTGTTAATCAGTTGATCCAGATATACAAAACAATGGTACTTTTCAAATTAAAAACATGCAGAGAATTATATTAGCCTTGCTCAGAAGGGCACATTATAAGCACAGGTTTGCAGGATAGGTGACACAAATTTTAATGTTTCTTACACATCCCACTGGAATTCTACATTCAAGCTAATTCAATTATGACTTGTTTGATTAGTTGTATCTGTGCAGCCAACTCCAAATCAAATGATTCATACAAAACCAAGGAAAGCTGGTGGAAGAGATTACAAATGAATTTTAAAACTGTTTCCTCTGACTTTAGCTGATCAAGATGTCTGTCTGAAATGATTCATTATTTTAATTGTTACTTCTGCGGCTATTGTTTCTATTCAGGTGACAAAGGGGAAAAGGGTTTGCCTGGGATTCCTGGAGGAAAAGGCAAAGCAGGTATGCTTGCTAATCTTGCTCCTTAATTTCTGGCATTATTCCAAATATATTATCTCCAAAATAGATTTATTTTTTATGAAAAACAAAAATAAAAATATTTGCAGTACCTATTTTACTCAAGGTAGAGGAAAGAAAGAAGGGAACTTTCCTCTCTATTTGCTGGTGACTTTCCAAGCCCTGGGGAAGGGGTGATGGCACATTCCATCCCGTCTGTTGTAGGGAAGCAACCCAGCGCATCAGGAAGCAGCCCTCATTCTGCTAGACCAAGAGGAAAATCCACAATGGCCTCAGCACCAGGCCTGGTCAGCATGCCTGACATTCCACCAGCATCTCAACCAAATACTGGCCAGCAGTTTGCCAGAAGCAAATTGGCCTACTCTGAAAGCCCTGTGATTACAGGACATCAACGACCATGGACACTCTCTCCAGTACTGAGAGTTTCATTTCCAGAGCTACATGCATGGATAAAAAGTACTTGTTTCGGGGGGCTTCAGTTATTTCTGCCGATAGGGGTATAGTAAAGACTGATTCTAAGAACTGTTTTAAATTCCTAATTTAACTGAGAATATGGAGAAATAAAGCTATAAGTTTCCCCCTCCCCTTTGTCTAATAAATTTCTATTTCTTTATCAACCACCTTAGAAGAAAGCAAACAGAAATGTTCATATGAAGCAGCCACCAAATAGAAAAGAATAGAATCATTTGAATTTCACATCATTTTCCTTACAATTCCTTCTGTGTCACAGTATCAGTAGGTAATTGAAAAAAAAATAGGTAAATGAGCAAAGGGTAATCCACAAATGTGACAACTGGCTCTTGAAATAATACATTGGATATTTTCACGAGATTTAAATTTGGTCCGCAATACATTTAAGCTGTGCTTCAAGTGGGTCGTCAGAATTTACGTTTGAGCCCTAACCGATTTGGCACAGTAGATAGAGCGTTGGCCTGCGGACTGAAGGGTCCAAGGTTCGATTCTGGTCAAGAGCATGTACCTGGGTTGTGGGCACATCCCTAGTAGGAGATGTGCAGGAGGCAGCTGATTGATGTTTCTCATTCATCAATGTTTCTAACTCTCTATCCCTCTCCCTTCCTCTCTGTAAAAAAAATCAATAAAATATATATTTTTAAAAAAGAAAAAATAAAGAAAGAGGCACAGCTCTGCTCATCTCAACTCCTATGAGCTAAATTCATGGTGGCATCGTTTTAAAAAAAAAGAATTAAGGTTTATTTCATCATGAAAGGTTTCTCTTGCCCTTGGAGAGTTGTGTGAGTGAGTGAACAGTGCAGAAATAGAAGAGAAGACCAGCTAGAAATCAGTTTTCAGAAAGCTGCAAAGATTTTATTCTGAAATTGGAGAGTCACATCCTGTGTTCCACAAAAATGCCAAATGGTCCACAACATGGGTGCAGTGGCTCATCGTATTTACTCTCCTTTTTAAGAAGATGGTTTCGAACTGTGTTTCGACTCATTCACAATATTTTTAAAGATATATTCTGAATTCCTAAAGGCAGTGTAATTTGGAAACCTTATTTTTAATAAAAGATTAAAAGTATAGCTGCTCACAGAGAAACATAATAGACTAGAAAAAGATAGTAAATGTTGGGAAGAGGGGGGTGGCTCCTTTCAACTCATCTGCATGTGTTTCAATAAGAATTCACAGTTTTTTCCTTTGAAAGGTACTGTCTGTGATTGTGGAAGGTACCGGAAAGTTGTTGGGCAACTGGACATTAGTGTTGCTCGCCTCAAGACATCTATGAAGTTCGTCAAGAATGGTGAGTGTATTCTCTTTTGCTTTGTGCTATTTATTGATTTAGTCTTTTTCAAAATTATAATTCCAGTATTTCTAGCAGGAAATACCTTGGGTTGGGCAAAGGACTACTAAGATAGTGTCATCAGATTAAAGGTCTCTCAAAATACTAATTATCCACTCCAACTCCAGGACACTTCAAGTCCACTACATATATTTGTACATACTGCATTGACTATGGGTAGAAAAAGTTACTTTCTGGAGAGTGGGGACAGTGAAAAGGTCAGAGTTTGGCAAGCCATGCTTTGAGAATAAAAAGGGACAGCAAGACTCAAACAGAACGATCATCTCAAAAAATAGAAAGTGATAATAAAAACAACAGCTATTTCCTTAAATACTTGGAATATTAATAATTATGATATAAGTGCTATGATTAAGATGAAGCTTAGGAAGATGATCTTGCCCATAGATACAGAGTTAATGAACTGTGGAGCAGGGATTTGATTACAGGTTTCACACAAATTAATAGGGACATCATGTGTTTCTTTAAATTTTGCAACTTTTCATATTAGTCATTTTTGTTATCCTTTGTCCATAGTTAGCAGTTACGCCCTTAAAGTGAGGCTATGTGTTCTCTTCTGAGACGGTATGAATGTGGGAACTATTGTAGTTAGTGTTACAATTGGTTTCATTTTGTTGTACTTTCATTTATTGCAATACAGCTATATTTGTTTACATTATTGGAAGCACACAGACGCCATCTTGTGTTCATCCTCATCTTGTATACTACAGGCAAAGGAAATGCTCAATATTAACTATCGACCCTAATTATAATTCTGGTTATAACCTGAACACAAGATGCAGTCTCTGGCGTGACTTGGACACTCATGAATAAACCAGACCTCAGAGGTTCAACATACAGCAATAGTTCTTAACATTTGAGTGGTCAAGATTTCTTTGTGCATTTTAATTTATGAACCCTAAAAAGTATATGTTGATGTCCCTGAAGCCCAAAACATATATAGCATACTCTGAGCTCGAAATGATTCTGTGTCCCCAATTCTGTCTTGAAGCTTACTCAGTAGCTCAGTCTACTTCATGTACCTGGAGTGAAGTATGAACAATCTCAAAAGATGTACATGTTCACAGCCCTGGAATTGGCCCAGAGTGGAAAAACTTCTGAATTATTCCCATATCAGTGTAATAAGCTTCTATCCTCCTTTGCAATGTTGGAAGCACCAAGACTACAGAATAGCAAAGACATACTTATTCTTCTCAAGACGTTCGCAGTTTAGTAGAAGAGACACACAAACAATTAGACTAGAATGTGTTGAGTACTAAGAAGTGGGGAGCAGGGGATAAGACTCCCCAGTGTGTGCTCAGGGAAAGGCTCCTCTGGGATAAAACACTTACACTGAGATTGAAAGGATGAGCAGAGTTGCCCAGGTAGAGGAGCAGTGAGACTAATTCCCAGGCATGAAAAGCATGGAACTGGAACAGAGAAGGGCATGCTCATGGAACTATAAGTTTGGCAAAGGCATAAACTAGGATGGGAAAATAGTCTGAGATGAGCTGGGTTGCAGTTCATGTAACAAGTCTGTGTCAAAATAGCTCTTGCTTCAAAGTTGTGTGGGAAGTTAAACAGGAATGGTAGGTAGGACAACTGGTAGGAGTTCTTTCTCCATTTGAAAACTAGAAAGGTGGAGAAAATATTAAACCAGTGCCAAGCTCATCATAGGGCCTTGCAAAATAATTGTAGACTTTTGAAGAAATGTTTTTAAACCCAGAAATATTATATACTTGCCTTTTCTCTTTTTGAGATAAATAATTACACTCTTCTCTGCAAAGTCATAGCAGGGATTAGGGAAACGGATGAGAAATTCTACTACATCGTGCAGGAAGAGAAGAGCTACAGGGAATCCCTGACCCACTGCCGGATCCGGGGCGGAATGCTAGCCATGCCCAAGGACGAAGCTGCCAACACACTCATCGCAGACTACGTAGCCAAGAGTGGCTTCTTCCGGGTCTTCATCGGGGTGAATGACCTTGAGAGGGAGGGACAGTATGTGTTCACGGACAACACGCCACTGCAGAACTACAGCAACTGGAAGGAGGGGGAGCCCAGCGACCCCTATGGTCATGAGGACTGTGTGGAAATGCTGAGCTCAGGCAGGTGGAATGACACGGAGTGCCATCTCACCATGTACTTTGTCTGTGAGTTTGTCAAGAAGAAAAAGTAACTTCTCTCATGCTACACATTGGTTATTCCCTGTGACTACCATTGCTGTTCCTTTTATCTATCCTTTTCTCCCTAGTTATGCTAAATTTTTCTGACTCAGGACAAGTGGGAAATGCTAAACTGAGGTTTGGAATCTCCATCGTCTTGTTCTTTGGTGACAGTTTTAAAGATTTGCATATATAGTATAGTATTGAGCCAACAGCTTACATGGATCTCAAAAGAGAGTTTGAATTGTTAGTTGGCATTTGCTCTGACCCCTCTCCCTAGAGCCCTAATTGCTCTCTACCTGGCCCAGAAGATAATTGGGACAGTTGGTTGATAAGGACTAGGATAATCTGTCATTCCCAAAGTCAGACATGTGGGAGGGTCTTATGTTTTCTAGAAATGCCAAGATATTATTCATCTTGGAATCCAAGATCCCTAGTTCTTTGATCAGTCATCACCATAGCCATCCACATACTTGCAAGTCCCTCTTGTTCACACAAACATAGGAACACTTCACCCCCAACCTCTATATGAAGAATTTCTTGGCCAGTGACCTGTTCCAGGCCATATGGAAACACAGAGAACCTTTTTGTGCTTCTGACCTATAATTTTCAGTGAAGAGTATCAGGTAGCTTCCCTGGCTCCCTTCCTTTAGGCCTGCAACTTAATCCCAAACCCCCAGATGATTAACTCTCTGACTTGAGGAAAAGGGACCTTTAGAAATTAAAAAGAAAAAAAAAAGAAGAGTGTTTGTTCCCAAACAATATGATTTCTAATCCTCCTGCTAAATTGCCCCTTGCTACTAATATGGCTCCATTTTTCCTTGTCTTAGGTTAACTCATATCAACTTTACTACCTTAGTCATGGGGAACGATGGATGGGGTTTTTGAAGCCTTTGGAAAACTCTAGAAGCTTCCAAGTGCTACCAGCATCAAGTCTCTAATCCCCCTCCTCCCTATATCTAATTTATCACTCGGGGCAACATTTGGTGGAAGGCCCTTTACTGCCATAACTGCATGTTGTAAAATCCAGCGCAGAGATGCCCTTTCTAGTACTCTCACATCACAGGAATGTCAGGCATGGAGTTTGGAACATGCCTAGGACTCACATTTACTGAGCTGATGAAGTTCTACTTTGAACTACAGATCAAACTTCTGAGCAGCTTTCATTTTGGAATCTAAAAATAAACAGTTCAACAAAACTCTAGATTATCCCCTTTTACATTGCCGCTCCAGTTATAGTTTGTGATATATGATCAGACTCTTTAAAATGCTGGCAAAATGGTTAATGAACTTAGAGAAACAGATCAACAACATATGTTCACCTTAAACCATCTGTTCATGATTTCACCCATGACTAACTGGTTATGAGATAGGATTTAATTAGGATATTTCTGTGGATTTAACAAGGGTCACAAACTCAGGTATTACAAGGGCCATACAGATGACATAAATAAATGAGGTAGAACAGGTGGAATCCTGGTACACTGAAAACAGCTTGCCCATCTAAAGGAACCAGCTGTTTCTCGGTGGCTGCTATTTTTGCCATAGAGGACCCAATGTCACTACATGTTCTGATATTTCAAGAGAAATCAGAGATCTGGAATTTAACTTTATATTTTTCAAAGTTGGCATATAGTCAATTTTTAACCCAAATGTTAAGCCAGACAAAACAGTCTGCTAGCCAAAATCATGACCTTTCCATTTCTCACCCCTTGGGGAAAGTTCCAAAGATTCTAACCATATTCAATGTCATTAGGATACAGTGACATCAAAGTTAAGATTTCCCATTGATACCTCATTCAGTTCAGCTCAATCACAGGAATTTCTTCAGTGTTTTCCACTCATCAAGTTAATAAACTAGTTACTTATTCAGGCTTTGAGACTGTGACATATGATATTTTGAAGGCAGGCAGTTTAATAAAAATCACAAAGAGAACACCATATCAAAACCAATATCTTTGGGTCAAATGTCAGCCAAGAACATGAGGCACAAGACTCTAGAAACACTTGGAGGAAAAGAAAGGGGAAAAAAGAGAGAGATAATTTACCAAAATTATCAAATTTACCAAAAAGAGAGAGATAATTTACCAAAATTATCAAATTTACCAAAAAGAGAGAGATAATTTACCAAAATTAAGTCATTTGAGAGAAAAGCAGTAAACCTTGCCTAAAGAGCAGTAAACCTTGCCTAAGATCTCCCCTGGAATTCATATTCTAATTTTGTCTGAGACCCTAAAGTATGAATATTTGTTGTATGTGTTACAAGTGCTATTATGAGCTCTATTATGATTATTATAATAATAACAGCATTTTTCCATGGCTCATCTTTGCTTCCAATGCTTCCAAGAGAAGATCACAGAGCTTCAAAGAATAGGCTTCATCCTTCCATTTTGCCTAGAGGAAATGTTTAAGGTACCACAGACTTAATTAGACCTATTATGAAACTTGCTTTGTGCTTTACAAAATAAACACCTTCACATATCAGATATCATGTGATTTTGATAAACTTTGTGATTACGAAGGGCAAACATTTTTATTTTTATTCTTTATTGTTTAAAGCAGTGGTTCTCAACCTTCTGGCCCTTTAAATACAGTTCCTCATTTTGTGACCCAACCATAAAATTATTTTCATTGCTACTTCATAACTGCAATGTTGCTACTGTTATGAATCGTAATGTAAATATCTGATATGCAGGATGGTCTTAGGCGACCCCTGTGAAAGGGTCGTTCGACTGCCAAAGGGGTCGCGACCCACAGGTTGAGAACCACTGGTTTAAAGTATTACGTATGTCTCCTTCTCCCCCCCCCCCCCAATTGACCTCTCCCTGACTACCCCAGCACGTGCCCTTACCCGCTAGTGTCTGTGTCCATTGGTTATGCTTATATGCATGCATACAAGTCCTTTGGTTGGTCTCTTACCTACTGCCGCCCCCTGCACCCCCCCCCCAGCCTTCCCTCTGAAGTTTGACGGTCTGTTTGATGCTTCTATCTCTGAATCTATTTTTGTTCATAAGTTTATGTTGTTCATTATATTCCACAAATGAGTGAGATCATGTGATATTATCTTTCTCTGACTGGCTTATTTTGCTTAGCATAATGCTCTCCAGTTCCATCTATGCTGTTGCAATGGTAAGAATTCCTTCTTTATTACCGCAGCGTAGTATTCCATTGTGTAGGTGTACCACCATTCTTTAACCCCCTCATCTGCGGTTAGCACTTAGGCTGTTTCCAAATCTTAACTATTGTAAATTGTGCTGCTATGAACATAGGGGTGCATATGTCCTTTCTGATTGGTGTTTCTGATTTCTTGGGATATATTCCTAGTAGTGGGATTACTGGGTCAAATAGGAGTTTCATTTTTAATTTTTTGAGGACACTCCATACTGTCTTCCACAGTGGCTGCACCAGTCTGCATTCTCACCAGCAGTGCACCAGGGTTCCTTTTTCTCTACATCCTCACCAATGTTTGTCGATTTGTTGATGGTAGCCATTCTGACAGGTGTGAGATGGTACCTCATTGTTTTTTTCATTTGCATCTCTCAGATGATTGTGACTTTGAGCATGTTTTCATATGTCTCTTAGCCTTCTGTATGTCCACTTTCAAAAAGTGTCTATTTAAGTCCTTTGCCTATTTTTTTTATTGGATTGTTTATCTTGAAGGGCAGACATTTTTACTTCCATTTTCCCAATGAGGATAATTAAGGCCCAAGGATAATTTACCAAAATTAAGTCATTTGAGAGAAAAGCAGGACTCCAGCCTGCTGATGGAAACTGTCAAGCCAGAGTTTTCTTCAGCCTCTGTTTGTTGCTCTCCTATTGAATGGAAGTTCATCCTCAGTTCCCTCGTGATAGCAGAGGCTCAAATAATGTCTCTTGATTTCCTTCCAAAGTTAAAGGTGAAGATCAATTAACAGAGATGCTGGAGATTCAGAAACTTTCCTTACAAATATGGTGTTCTCTGGCTTACTTTTTCATTCACAAATGTCTGTATGTGGCATCGGGCTGGGGAGGTGACTTAGTACAATTTTGCAGGTAACTACAGATATAGGGAAAGCAAAACAGATATATGAAAATCAAAATTTGCCCCAAATAAAAATGAGCATGTAATTATTTGCCTCATAAAATAATTAACTAGAGTATTCCCTTAAATAATTAGCATTGAAAATTGATTTTATTCTCAAATGTTGAATTTATACTCTACTTTTCAGGAACATATCTGGGCACTTCCCAAGGATGACAGAAAATTTCCAGGGGGGAAAAAATTAAAAAAACTTTTTCACAATCTCACAACACTGCCTTATCAAAGCAGCATAATCTATAACCACACAAGGGGAAATAGTTTATGCCCAGAGTCATAGTCCAAATACCATAGGAAGATATAACAGCTGAGAGAAATATAATAATCATTGATTATACTTTGGACAACTCACCCATAAAAATGGCTAGAAGTTTTTTAAATGTATTTTAAAATTCCTACTTAAATCTGTGTTACCCAAATATGAGTTGCTTTGATTATTAACAAATTACTTTCCAGCTCTCTAGATTGCATTTCTTGAGACAAGAAAATATCAGTGAAATCAGAAATGTTAACTAAACAGTAGCACCCATTACACCAACAATAGATTGAGACAAATGTTTGCAGAGAATCATGGTTGGATTCCACGCAGGGTAACACGGGTTTGATGTATTACTTTGATATTCAAAATCTAGGTCTGGTGTCATGACTGCCTTGAATTTCAGTGCCAACTGTACCACTTACTACCAGCCCTAGTAGGGAAATATTTTCCACACTTTAAAACTTGTTTCCTAATCTGTATGGTTTCTCTTCACAGAGTGCTGTGATAATTAAAGGAGGCAATATGTAATGAGACTAGACACATTATATGGATACAATAAAGCAGCCATTACTACCACCTACAGCTACATGTTGAAAAGAAATAAGCTATATTTTAAGTTATGTAAAAAATTACCTAAGTGAAAAATGTATGTACACGCCATGCATATATATATGTGTGTGTGTGTGTATATATATATATTTACATGTGTGTGTCTATATGTGTAAAGGTAAATTTTTATCCTCTTTTATAGTTAAAATTGTCATCTTCAGGGCATTAAATAAACTGCCAAATGCTGATATGAATTAGAGCTGAGGTTCATACCTGGATATGATTGGTTCTCTAAGATACAGTTCATCTGAACCTATGTTTATCACATAAAAAGTAACATTTTTAAACTTTTAAAAAATCATTGACTTGTATTACCCTGAGGTCATAAGACCTTCACAGTCTAGCAAAGTCCTTTAAAATTTGGGTGGGGGGGAAGAAAGTCATGTCATTTTGAATGGAGATGAAAGGAAAGGGAGAATTTGCCACAGATGGTGTATGCATAAAGCTTTTCATAAATATTGGACATTCTTTTGCTGAACCCCTAACAGATGGTCATGCAGTCTATATTTGAATGTTTTTGGTAATTGCTAACCTCATTAGAAAGTTTTGCCTTATAGTGAGCATCTCTCCAATTTCTACCCATTGTTCTGCCCTTTGCTATTGATAACTCTGAGAGGTCTGGCCCTGAGAGAAACTGGAGCAGGCTATTAATAAAAGTAAAACTGGGTTAGGGAATGCTGTCTTCACTATGGGACTGGTTACTTCGGTAGCTATCTGGTTTTATACATTTTGCTAAACCCAGATGGTATGGCCCACATTCACTGAATTAAAATTTTGAATTGCCAAAGGCATGAGGGGCACAGATGTAGAGTATGAATAGTATTCAAAGTCATGGGGGACATCTCAATCATAAATAATCTATTTATTAGGAGGGGTACATGATGTTCAGGGTTCAACCCCCAGGGGAGGAGGCTGCTAAGGAGTAGATGGTTTGGTAAGGCCCCACTGAGAGGGTTCATTCAAGACAGGTGTCCAGAGCCAGTGGGAGAGTGAAGTCAAAATCAGAGTCCAGGTGCATGAAGCCTATAGGGTGGACATCTGGCTCAGGTAGATAGTAGAGTTCATTGACTCACTAATTCATCAGATATATTTATGGAGCATTTAATATGGGTTAAGAGACAGCATGATAAGGACTGGAGACACAATGGAAAAGAAGACTGATCAGGTTTCTAGCCTAGTGGGCAGAACCCTCGGGTTCATTGAACATCAGGCTTACCACACTAAGACCAAAGACTTAATCTATTATGAGGGATGGAATCTAGAAACCTATTCTATTTCTATACCTCCTTCCTCATCAACATAATTGCTCTTCAAAGATACGCTGAAATAAGTTAGACAAGGGATTTTTTGAAAGAGTACCACATTACCTTTCTTTTTTTTTTTTTTTTTTTATATATATTTTATTGAGTTTTTACAGAGAGGAAGGGAGAGAGATAGAGAGTTAGAAACATAGATGAGAGAGAAACATCGATCAACTGCCTCCTGCACATCTCCCACCGGGGATATGCCCGCAACCCAGGCACATGCCCCTGACCGGAATCGAACCTGGGACCTTTCAGTCCGCAGGCTGACGCTCTATCCACTGAGCCAAACCGGTTTCGGCCACATTACCTTTCTTAAAGAGCGAAACTGATGCATCTCTTCAAGTACTTTTATACATGCATTTTAGCTGATTCGTGATATGAACAAAAAATTCCTATAATAATGTGTATACTCACCCACACCACTTCCTCACCATAGAGAATACATTCTTGTGCTTGTACATGAGTGAGCTTTGACACCTGGCAAATGTTCCTTTGCCTTATATTTTCCTGGTTACCTACACCTGATATTCAGTGAAACCCAGATTCGCCATAGATTGTCACATTTATAATAAAATAAGGACAGGTAGGAGGAAGAGAGGAGAAATGATTTAGACATTTTATAATTTATTAAAATGTGAGGACAGTAACCCCACATTAATCACCGTGTTGGCATCTACAGTTGGGAGATAATGCAGATTAATGTGGGTCCATACCATTTTAAAGCTATATCACCATTGGGCATATGCATTTTTCACTTTAGAACCCTTAAATAGACTAATTTATCAAGAGTTAAGCCTTATTGTGATTAAACCTGGTTGATGGGCCTTTGGGAGAGGGATGGAGATAAAGATTGACTACAATCCAACCCTTGATATATTGATAGAATATCAGTCCCAGGAAAGAGTTCTCACAAGCTATCATGATATATAAGAATTTCAGGCATTTTCCAAGTCTTGAGAAAATAAACTAGGGGGAGACATAATTGCAAATCACACTCAATTTAAACTCAAAAAATCTAGTTGGATACCTTTACAAAGATATATTTGACATAATATAGAATTCTGGAAGACTCTTCCCTTGCAGGTCACAATTTTACATGGATATTTCCGGAATCAAGTTGGAGAAGATGATGCTGAAGAAAGCTTACCAGAGAAGCATATGTTTTAGAAGTGAGTAATTTTTGGAAATGTTTATGTTTTAAAATGTTTTCGCCCAAATCCCCTGTTTTATATGATCTTATCTTTGATTTTGCTCTCAGCCTCCAGGAATGATGAAGGATTTTTTATACTGACACAAGCACCAAAGTTCTCTCTTCCACAGACTAGGGACTTTGTTCTTGCCCTAAAGGACCT